ATTTTCTCGAAAATTTTCTATAAAAAGAGAATTTTCTCGAAAATTTTCTATAAAAAGAGAATTTTCTCGAAAATTTTCTATAAAAAGAGAATTTTCTCTAACATTTTCTATAAAAAGAGAATTTTCTCGAACATTTTCTAAAAAAGACAATTTTCTCGTAAATTTTTATAAAAAGAGAATTTTCTTCAACAATTTTCTACAAAAAAGAAATTTTCTATAAAGTTTCTTAAATTGATATTTCATTATTTTATTAACCACCCTAATATTTGTACATTAAACCTTAAAAGAAACCTATGCTTTGCAACTATTAAGTATTATCTTAAAAAACACACGTAAAACACTATAATGTCTCTTTTTTATATAAAAAAGTAAACTTTTAAACTCAAGGTTAAAAATTTGACTTGGCAAAAATGTTATCTTTAAATCCCACAACAACAATAACAAAAAAAAAAATAGTTACATTTGACACTAATCTAACACAAAATTGACAGCTGAGATGTTTTTCTAGCATTTATCGACAAAATTAAACAATAGATAAACAACAGCAAAAAAGAACAACACAAAACTATAGATCATAGACAAAAACCAAGAAAAAATTGTTTACAGCAAACATATAAAAATAATATAAAAAAACACTCCTTAAAAAAAAAAGAAACAGCGACAAGAAAACTTGAAAACTATTTACCAAAAAATACTTAAACATTCTGGCATGATTTTGCTATTTTTTATAGCTCCTCCACTACAAAACTAACATTTAAGTTATAAAAATTATAAAATATTTTAATGTTAGTGTATCAAGATCTTAAAGACCAGATAAAATTGAAAAAAAAAAACGTTACGACACCTACACTTTTTTCTTCTAAATACTTTTTAAAGTTTTTTTAATAAGAAGTTAAGTGTCTCTAAATAAAAACAAAGAATCTTTTTAAAAAGCTACTTAAGAAATCTTTTGAACGTGAAAAAAAAAACTATTTATTTAAACATTTATAAGATTAATACATGCAGGAAGTTAAAAAGGTTAATTAGTTTTTTTTTCAATTATTCTTTTTTAATAGAAAAAATAAATAAAGAGAAATAAATGTGAACTATAGCAATTAATAAAAGAATGATGGATGGTTGTTAGAAAAATTGTTTTAAATGTTTAATGTATTAGAAATAATTGAAAAATTAGATCATGTACATAATATTGTAGAAAAACAAAACAAAAGACTTAAGAAACAAACTTGTTTTTGGGATTTTTGTTTTTTATTCGCAAAGATTAGTTAAAACTTAAGTGGATTTAGTTGTGTACTATTAAATGGATTTAAGTGGATATTTGAGTGAATATTCGCAGAAAATTACTAGAAATAATCAACAATTTCTTAATAGAATGGTTTCAATTTGAAAGAACCTTTCAAGAGAGCTGTTGAACAGTTAAATAAATTTTAATGTTAGAACTCCAGGAAATGTTAGGTTAAGCAAGAGCAATTGGATTTGACCGATTGCAATTTATTTTGTAATAAAGCATTTCATGATCCAAGCATTTAGCATAGTTAAGCAATATATTAATGAAACCCCGTTTTGATGAAAGCGATATAAAGGATCTAGGGTTAAATAGGGAAGAGTTGGCTATTTCGAATACTGTTTATAGGAGAATTAAGGAAGTATAAATTATTTTCTGAGGGGGACTTCGTACTGGGACTAGGATAAGTAATATTATTTAGATCTATGTCAAACATAGTTGTGCAGATTTTCGTCTGTCTGTCTGTCCGTCTGTCTGTTTATTGAAATCACTTTGAGGTTTTTCGTGCATGCTGAGTCAGAAATTATAAGCAAATAACAACAACATACATACTCATACAGTAAATTTTCTTGTTTTTGTACATACTTGTTTATAAAAACAAAGAAAAGAAAGAACAACACTTTACGAATAAAGCAGTATGTTGTTATTGGGTAGGGTAGAAACATGAAATTAAATATGTAGAGCCTGGATTAAGTGAGAACCTATAAAAGGGGACTTTTTGGCACATAAAATTAAGTTTGTAGCGTAGATTATGTGGGAACCCATAAAAGGGTACTTTTTCGTTCTTCAAAGGGTACTTTTTACAATTTCTATATTAATGGACCTAGAAATATTAAATTAAGTTTGAGCCCGCATTAGGTGAGAACCCATTAACGGGGACTTTTTGGTACTTTTTCGTTCTTCGATAGGTACTTTTTGAATTTTCTAAAATATTGAACCTACACAGAGGGAAAAGGAAATATACACACCTGGTACCAAATTGACACCAAAGAGTTTGTAATTTTTCAATAACATCCGTTGCCAAAGTATATAACATCCGTTGCAACAATTCTATCTAAATGTTAACAAACGTGGTAAGCGCTCTATTGGCAACGGATTGTTTGTTGTCAATAGTGAGCTTACCAACGGATGTGTATAAAATTTAGATTTCGACAACGAATTGTTGCAATGTTGTCAACATTACATAGTGTTGTCGTACGTATGTATATACTATGACAACGGATGGTATTGAAAAATTATAAACAGTTTGGTGTCAATTTGTTACCAGGTGTGGATATTTCTTTTTCCCTCGAAAAGTCGACTTTTCATATATCGCAAAAAGTCCAAAAATCAACATTTCATAAATCGTAAAAAGTCGACAAGTTGACTTGTCTTGTTTCAACTATAGAACCCTATGACAAATATACGTTCTACTTCAGAACAGTGTATCCGAAAGTGTCTTAATTCGTACATTTGAAAAAGTTCTGCATTTTTAAGCTAAATACCGAATGGAATTTATATGAATAATGTTCATAGAAAGAAGTGGCCTTCGAAAAATTTGTCACATCAATTTTTCTATTATTTTTATAACCAGCATCAAAAAAGATGGGGGTATATTGTTTTTGTCTTTCCGTTTGTAACACATCGAAATATTAATCTAAGACCCATTAAAGTCTAAGTATATTTTCTGGATCCTTATTAAATTCTAAGACGATCTAGCCATGTCCGTCCGTCTATCCGTCTGTCTGTCTGTTGAAGACAAGATAGAGTCCAAATGGAAGTAGCTAGCGGGCTGAAATTTAGCATAGACATTTTATATTGATGCAGTTTGTTTGGTATTGATAATGGGCAATATCGGTCCGCGATTTCGCCTAGGCCATAACTGACTAAAAGAAGTAGCAAATGCAATAAAATTCTACATAAACCTATTTTATAAGAACCATAATATTATTGTAAAATTTTATAAGGATCGGTCCATAATTGACCCTACCCCCCATATAAGGTCCCCTACAGAAAATTACTTTAACGCTTATAACTGTCTAAAAGAAGCATCTATAGCGATGAAATTCGACATGAACATATTGTATAGGGACCTAAATCGCTTTGTAAAATTTTATAAGGATCGGTCCATAACCAAATATAAGACTCTTACTTGTTCTTAATTATACCCTACACCACTATAGTGGGGAGGGTATTATATATAAATATTGGCCCTACACCCACCTTAAAGTATACCGATCGACTCAGAATCACTTTTTGAGTCGATTAAGACATGTCCGTCCGTCCGTCTGTCCGGCTGGCTGCCAAGTAAACCTTGTGCGCAAGGTACAGGCCACAATTTTCAAGATAATTTGATGAAATTTGGACCAAGCATGTTTTTTGGCACAAGGACGAAGCCTACTGAAAATGGTTGAAATCGGTCCATTATTTCACCTAGCCCCCATACAACCGTACCTCCCGATTTGGGCTTTTTATGCCATAATTCGGCAAAATAAGATTTTCGTAATGATCGGCCCTTATTTGACCCTAGCCCCCATACAAACCCTCCTTCAAAAAATGTCTTAAACATCTAAAATTAACTTGTAACCATTTGTATCGCAATGAAACTCAACATAATTTACTATTATTTAAAAATATATCCTTTTCCCAAATTTAACGAGGATCGGCCCATGTTTGACCTATACTCCTATATAAAGCCTCATTTAGAAAATTTGTTTTTTATCAATAAATTGCTTAAATACTTTAGAATTAAGGTAAAATTCAACATAAAAGTTTCTTTGTGAAAAATAAAAATTTTTAAAATATACTCATGCCCGACTTTACTTTCCTACTTGTTTTTTTTCTAAATTTTTTTTTTAATAAATTTTTCTAAATTATGTTTAATATGTAAAAATGTTATTAAATAATTCATATATGTTCCAAGAAAGAATACGATATTTTGAGATTTAAAGAAATGTAAAATAGAATAAATTTCTATCAAATTTTTATTAAACCTTTTTTTAATTTTATAAAGAAAATAATTTTCACTTTGAAACCAAAAACTTGTAATTGGTATTTCCCCCAAAACAACATACCCCAACTTACAGACAACAAAACAACAGAAAAAGTCACCAATATAAAGTCAAATTAATTTACGAATACAACAAATTAAAACCAAAAACAAAAAAAAAAAAAAAACTGGTTTCATAATAAAGTTTAAACTATCTGGTAACAGAGTGTGTAACGTAATGACCAAAACATACTACCGGCATTTGTTTATGTTTTTATTGAAAAAAAAAAAAAAAACACAAAACAGCTGACCAAGCTAAAGCCGGCTTAAAAAAAAAGTAAAAACAGTCATAATAACAAGAAAAAAATTATAAACAAATATTAAGAGTTCATTCATAACAACTAAAACAGCTGTTTTGTTTTCAAGAAAAAAAAACAAGGTTCATTTTTAAACTTAAAACTAAAGAGAGTGAGTGGTTTAAATTGATTTTAGAGATTTAAGAGAATTTTTTTTTTGTAACACAACGTTAATAGAGTATGAATTTATGAAGTTAAGTTGGTTACGATTTTCAGTTTAATGTTGTGGGGCAAGTAAACCACAATTCAGATTGTTGGTAACATTCGTGGTTAACACTTGTTAAAAGCGGAATAATAAACAACGTCGCAGTTGTTTTTAGCGAAAAACTTAATAAACATTAACGTAAATTACGTAAACGTAAAGTTAAACTAAAGTTTAAAATTTTTTTATATATTTTTTTATATATGTTAGTTTAAGCTTAAGTTTGATCTAATATTGTTAGAGAATTACGTGCGTTGACTTTTTTTTTTTTTGAGTTTTTTTGCTTAAGTGCAACATACAAGTGCAAGTTAAAGGTGTAATTTGTATAGTTTTATTGCTGTTGCTGCCACACAAATAACAACAAACAACTAAATTAACTTATAAAAGTTGCGTTTAAAAGGAAATTTTTTGTTTGTGTTTAAATTTAAAGAAAAAAATCGTATAATTTTAGTTTAAACTTTGGTGGCAACTGAGTCGATATGTGTGTTACATACTCCAAGACATTATTATGCAATAGAGAGGCCTAAGCAGCAATTGATGCCTCCAGTTGTTGTTGTTGAATACAAGGAAATACGTTTCCTTAACCAGTTTTTTGTGTAAAAAGTTTTGGTTTTTTTGCTTTATGGTTAAATTTTTATTAAAATCAAATGTTTGATAATACCAAGCTTGGTCAGCAAATCATAAAAAAAATATCGAAAAAAAGTTAAAGTTAAAGTTTTTTAATTGAAAAATAAAATAACTCTCCAAAATCGATTTAATAATTACGATAATAAAAAAATAAATAATTTTAATTATAAAACAAACATGAAATATTTTACTATAACATTTATTAAGGCAGCTGTTAAAACGTGATTATGAATATTTAAGAAAAAAAATAAATAAATAAATTAAAAAAAAAGTGATTTTTATGTTTTGTATTTAAGACAAAAACTACTGTTTAAAAAGGTGGCTACTGAACAATATTTGACATGCAATTGTTATAAAATTTTCTTATTGTTTTAATGTTGTAAATACCTTTGATTAAATCATATTGTTTAAATAATAAAAAAAATCAATATTCAATAGAAATATATATTTTTTTTAATTTTCTGCACTAGTAGTTTTCAAAGCCACTTGCAAAAATACAAAAAATCGACTAAAACAACATCAAAAAAAAAAAAAAAAAAAAATCATAAATAAAGTGTAATAATATTTTTTTTTCAATAAACCAACTGACCATAATATTGCAAAAGTTAAAACTATACCACAAAACCATATCAAATATCCGTGTTTTAAATAAATCTAAATTATATATACTAAACTTCCATAAGCATACCTTTAGGTATAACAACTCCTATAACGAAAAAAAAATTGTGTTTGCGTGCCATAAACAACTAAAAAAAAACTAAAAATAATACAATTTTTATTATTTACAAATAAATATAAATATTTAATTACTTAACTTGCTTTAGTTGAAAAAATATTTGCAAAAAAAAAAAATCGTTAAGAAACTACATAGTGGAACCTATAAATATCAAACTATATACTAAACTAAAAAAATATAAACAAAGTTGTGGAAAACATAAACAAATCTATAATTTTATATAAAAAAAAATTTATTATATAAACCAAGCAATTAAAAAAAAAAAAATAACTAAACCTATAAAATAGGCGTTACTGCACATGTAAGATAAATAAAGGATTAAAAATATTCTGAAAATATTGTAAAGAAAAAACTGAACAATAAATACATTTGGTATAATTGATAAATTTGGAAATGTGTTATTAACTGAGTAATTGAAATAATTTATAAAAAAACATAAAAGAATTTATATCGGGCATGGTCGACCATATGATACCATCACATCAGTGATTATGTTAAAAATTTTGATTATTTTTTTAATAATAAAGTATTTAATTTAATTTTTAACTTAATTCAGAAATATTTGAACAATTTGTTGACAAAAAAAAAGGGATTTTCTAAAAGAGGGGTTATATGGGGGCAGGGGGTCCTATCCTAATAAATTTTGGTAGAGAAATTTAGGTCTACATCAGTTATTTATGCAGAATATCATCGTGATATTAGTGTTTATAAGTGAATTTTGACCATCAAGTCATTTTCAGAAGGGGACTTTGTATGAGCGATAAAGTCAAATGAGGTCCGATCACTACGAAAATCAGCAATATCATTAAAACTTATATAAAACTAAATTTTGCCGATTTTTGAAGTGATAGAAGAATATTTAACTTATTTATGTGTTCAAAAGCCCTTTACGGGGGGTACGGTACAAAATAAAGGACTGATTTTAAACAATAGAAGAGTATGTGCCAAATTTCATCAAATTATCTTGAAAATTGTGACCTGTAGGGTGTACACAAGGTTTACATTGACACACAGCGGACAGTCAGATAGACAGACAGACAGACAGACTTACGGACGGACGGACGGACATAGTTAAATCGGTTTTTTACTTTAAGGTGCGTGTAGGATCAATATTTTTGGATGTTACAAACATCAGCATAAACGCCTAATACTCTCTCCACTATAGTGATGTAGGGTATAAAAATACTATAGAAAATCACCCAAAAAACAAATAAAAACAACAATTCACAATCGCAAAACCACTATTTTAAACATATGACAAAATATTGAATACACAGAAACTCTAATTCGTATTTGTTATGAATTTCATGATTTTAAACATTTTGTTTATAACAAATCACTTTCATTCACTTCAATGAAAGAAGCTCATAATTTAGTAATAAATATTATGACTTCAACATGATTTTTTTCAAAATACTATTTTCATACAGAATAAGAAAAGTTCATACATAGTATGACATTACATTTCACGAATAATACTAGTTTCAGAACCATTCTAAAGCTTCCTAAAGCAATATAGTATGAGGTTGAAAAATTTTAATAAAATAATTGAGTAAATATAAATAGAAGAAATTAACAAATCAACAATTCATTTTCATTCAGAATAAGAAAGGTTCATACATAGTGTGATATTGTATTCGACGAATAATAGTATTAGTTTCAGAACCATCCTAAAGCATCCTAGAGCTATATAGTTTGTGGTTGATAAATTTAAACAAAATCATTGAGTATATAGAAATAGAAGAAATTCACAAATCAATAATTAATTTCCAAACAGAATAAGAAAAGTTCATATATAGTATGACATTGCATATGACCAATAAAAGTACGAGTTTCAGAATCATTCTTAGAGCTATATAGTTTGATGTTAACAAATTTGAACAAAATCATTGAGTAAATAATTAGTTTCAGAACCATACTATAGAACGAGTATGGACATTAACGAGCACATTCTATAATAATCCGTTATAGAACAATAATAGCCTAAAAAGAAGTTTTCTTAGTAATCAAGAATATAAATCCCTTAAAAAAACCTAAAAAAATATTATAGTAGAAAGCAAATAAGAGTGTAAGAGTGCTAGGGTCAAATGTAGACCGATTTTGCTTATATTTTTTTTAAGCCATCTAACTTCTTCTGTTTAGACCCTTTCAGACATGGACATAGATCATCATAAGATGATTCAGATGTATAGAGTTTGGAAAGTTAAATTCGTTTTATAATTTTCCACATGGAATGTGGAAAAGAAGAGATACCTATCTTCTATTTGGTGAGATTTTTCCAAATAGGATTTTTTTAATTTGATTTTTTTTTTGCATTAATATTTAGTTCTTTAAAACTTTAAGGACTGTGTCAGAAAAATCTCATACCCATCTATTTATCTAAAACTTATCCTTAGTCGTTATATCTACCAGATATTGTTGTAGCAAAATAAATTGAACAAATCTTGCGAAGAGCACAAAACCCTTCTATCAGAAAAGCAGATCGTAAAGTTAAATGCTCTGATTCTTTTGTTCCGTAGAACCGAAGCTAATGCTGCTCACAGTCTGCTTGATATTGTTTAAATGTACAATTTAGATTTTAGTTGTTATTGGCTCCTAATGACTAAGAATAACACAGGCAGACAATTTTTTAGTCCAGAGACCAAAGTATACGCGCTAAAATCGAATCTGACCTCAGATTTTCTCCATCACATCTGAGATTAAAAAAAACGCTATTCTTAGAACTTTTGGAGACGTTATAACAGCACCAAGGCAACTTTATTTGTAAAATGTTGTATACCATCTGAAATTCCGTTTTGTTAACTTTAAAATAAATGCTTAACATCTGATATGTTGGATTCGGATTCAGCGCGGCTTAATCCTTTAGAAAAGTATAATTTGATCTCAGGGTTTCGACTTTTTTAAAATTTTGTCGGCCTGTGTAATGAACAGAATTTTTGTAAAAGGTTCGCAAAAAATCGGTGTTTATTTAAATTTTTATACTTCTATGGTAGTTACTTTTTAATTTAGAAAACTTCTTTCAATTTATTTTTTTTAAACTCAGTTTAGATTATTGCAACAATTAAATCTAGTAGTTTTTGGGAAATTTAAAAATTTAAATTTTTAACAAATTTCTCTTCGAAAAATTTCAATTATATGGTAAGGGTTTTATTGTACATGAAAAATATTATAACATTTGTTTAAATTATTTAAGAAAAAAAAAATTTTTATAATTTCTATTTGTTGAATAAAATTTTAATATCAAATTTACCTTAGAATATAGTTACATAAAATCCTTATTTTAATTAAACGATATTTACCTGCAAAGAAAGATAATAACAATTTTAGTTATATTATAAAAATATTAAAGAATTTCTTTTTTTTCAAAATTAAATACAAAATTTATTAATTAATTTTTTTCATATTTTCCAGTGTTTTTTTTCTCCTTTTATCTTTTCATATATGTTTTCCTCCCTTAGCCCCCTATAGTATTGTATAATTATTCAAAATTATTTTTAACACAATGTTGCCAAAATCAAAAATATTGTATTTTGGTTTATTTTTATTTTTAATAATAAATGCCGTACAAGCCAAACCCTCAAAGGATACCGAGGGTAAAGTGGAGACAAAAGAGGATAAGAAAAATGGTGAGTAAATAAGAGAATATTTTAAATAGTTTATTTAAATTATATTTTATTATGATTTTCTTTCCAATCGGAAATAAATTCTAAAACATTAGTCTAAGGAATGAGTTATATACAAAGTGTTTAAGGTATTGATCGAACTATTCAAGTAACAAATAAGCTATGATCAGGTTATATGACTATAACTAGATCATAAACAGATTACATGATGTCTATTTTCAGACTTATACAAGTCACTGATCAGACTATTTCCTGATTGTGATAAGACTTTGACTAGGCTCGGAATCATTATCGTAAAACTAACCCTCATGGCGCCAAATTGAAGAGAATATTTATAATTATGAATTTCTACAAAAGTTAGATAAATCCGATATATAAAAAATATATATATATTTATTAAAAAAATTGTTTACTAATAAAAAATCACTGCAGTTTTGCAAGTTCAATATAATTTATAAGAAAAACTGGATATAACAACACCAAAAACATGTATGAAACAAATAAGAAATTATAGTCGGGCGAGGCCGACCATATAATACCCTACAGCTTTGACAAAAATATAATGTGATTTAGTTGCCATAATAAAGCATTTAAGTTGAATTGTACCTTGCCTTAGATATACATACTTAAGCCGTTTATTGTTGAATAAAATTGTGGACATTTAAGTGACATTTTGATGGAGGCTTTTCATAGGGGCTAGGGTCATATGAGAATGGAATTTATGGAATTCGTGAGGGTCATCAAGTCTTGTATACAACTTGGTTTTTGCAGCTTTTTGTCGAGATATGAGTATATTAAACATAATTATGAACTAAAAAGTCCTATTCGGGGGTTCAGTTGTATGGGGGCTAGTTGAATAATGGACCGATGTTAACCATTTTCAATAAGCTTCGTCTACGATACCATAAAATATCATGTGCCAAATTTCATTGAATTATCTTCAAAATTGCGACCTGTAGTTTGATTACAAGGATTACAAGCCCTATTGGGGGGTTCAGTTGTATGGGGGCTAGGTGAAATAATGGACCGATCTTAACCATTTTCAATAGGCTTCGTCCTTGATCGTGTACCTAATTTCATTGAATTATCTTCAAAATTGCGACCTGTAGTTTGATTAAAAGGTTTACATGGATGGACGGACAGAAGGACAGACGGACGGACATAGCTAAATCGACTCAGAAAATGATTCTAAGCCGATTGGTATACTTTAAGGTGGGTATAGGACCAATATTATTGTGCGTTACAAACATCAGCACAAACCCAATATACCCTCAACACTAAAGTGGTGTAGGGTATAACAACAAAAATGTCATGCATGTTAAAGGAGAAAGTGGTCGATGTCACTACTGTCTGAAGTTGTTTGAAAAGAAAATTTAATGATGGTGATCATGATGATGATGTTGGCGATGATCATAACATTTAATGTTGTTGATCTTGTACTGCAACAGTACAAAAAATACGTGGATGTTGTTGTCTTACTATCAGACATACTGTCTGTTGTCTGCATGTCTCTCAAAAAAACAAAAAAAAAAAACTCTTATATAGGAGGGAACAATTTATACACAGAAAAACAAGTTAAATAAAGAAAGTTGAAAAATGAAAAAAAAAAAATAAAAATAATTTTACAAGTAAATTAAAAACTGTAAAGCACTGTAAACAGTGTTAAAAATAGCAGTAATACTTAGTAAATATAACAATATTTTTATATAGACTACAAAATAAAAAAATACGTTTATTTTTATAACAACAAAGAAAAAAGGTTTTTCTGTTTTATAAATAAACCAAAAAAAAAAGTATTATTAACACAGTTAATCAATGAGCAAGAAAAATTTTTAAAATGTATTACACATAATCAAATATGACATAAATTTAACAAAAATGCAAGTACAACAAAAAAACTTTTTTCTAAAATTATTGCTTGAGCATGAAAACTAAAACTAGCTTATGCAATTAAAACTGAACTTGAACATTTCGTTTTTTTCGACTTCCATAACTAAACAGACGTTTCTATATTAATTTTTTTGGTTTTTTAATTGTTTTTGTTCATAATTAGTATAAGAAAATAAAATAATTAAATTAAAACAAAGCCAAACAAAACAACTGAAAAAATTGTGTAATATTTCGTTCGAAGCAAAAATTGAGAGAAAACCAAAAACTAATCGATTACAAAACTACCTCCACCAATTAAATGTTACGCATTTTATTACGTTTCATTTGATTAGTTTTATATTATTTTTTTCAAATTTCCAAGTTTTGTTTTATCGTAAAACAAAAACTTAAATTGCCAAAATGAAAAGAAAAAACTAATCTCTAATCATCAACAGACCACATCAGCTTGTTATTTTTTTAATTACCAAATTATTTGATTAATGTTTTCAAAAAATACGTGGTAGTATTTAAAAACTTAAAAAAAAATTAAAACATATTTTTAGAGTCAGGTTGTAACGTGATTTAATATGTGTAAGATACAAATTTTACAAGGCACAGTGGGGCAATAAAAAGTAAATTATGTACAAAATACTTTTATGAAACTTAAACATTCCGTAGGAGATACATATATCAACTGTGTACAAAAAAACTAAACTACACTACTATGACCAGACTATGTCCAGACTATTACCAGTCCTGGACTATGACTAGACTATAGATAAGACTATAGACTAGACTTGACTATAGACTTGACTTGACTACAGACTAGACTATAGACTAGACTATAGACTAGACTATAGACTAGACTATAGACTAGACTATAGACTAGACTATAGACTAGACTATGGACTAGACTATAGACTAGACTATAGAGTAGACTATAGACTAGACTATAGACTAGACTATAGACTAGACTATAGACTAGACTATAGACTAGACTATAGACTAGACTATAGACTAGACTATAGACTAGACTATAGACTAGACTATAGACTAGACTATAGACTAGACTATAGACTAGACTATAGACTAGACTATAGACTAGACTATAGACTAGACTATAGACTAGACTATAGACTAGACTATAGACTAGACTATAGACTAGACTATGGACTAGACTATAGACTAAACTATAGACTAGACTATAGACTATACTAAAGACTATACTATAGACTATACTATGGACTAGACTATAGACCAGACTATAGACTAGACTATAGACTAGACTATAGACTAGACTATAGACTAGACTATAGACTAGACTATAGACTAGACTATAGACTAGACTATAGACTAGACTATAGACTAGACTATAGACTAGACTAGACACTAGACTATAGACTAGACTATAGACTAGACTATAGACTAGACTATAGACTAGACTATAGACTAGACTATAGACTAGACTATAGACTAGACTATAGACTAGACTATAGACTAGACTATAGACTAGACTATAGACTAGACTATAGACTAGACTATAGACTAGACTATAGACTAGACTATAGACTAGACTATAGACTAGACTATAGACTAGACTATAGACTAGACTATAGACTAGACTATAGACTAGACTATAGACTAGACTATAGACTAGACTATAGACTAGACTATAGACTAGACTATAGACTAGACTATAGACTAGACTATAGACTAGACTATAGACTAGACTATAGACTAGACTATAGACTAGACTATAGACTAGACTATAGACTAGACTATAGACTAGACTATAGACTAGACTATAGACTAGACTATAGACTAGACTATAGACTAGACTATAGACTACTAGACTATAGACTAGACCTATAGACTAGACTATAGACTAGACTATAGACTAGACTAGACTATAGACTAGACTATAGACTAGACTATAGACTAGACTATAGACTAGACTATAGACTAGACTATAGACTAGACTATAGACTAGACTAGACTATAGACTAGACTATAGACTAGACTATAGACTAGACTATAGACTAGACTATAGACTAGACTATAGACTAGACTATAGACTAGACTATAGACTAGACTATAGACTAGACTATAGACTAGACTATAGACTAGACTATAGACTAGACTATAGACTAGACTATAGACTAGACTATAGACTAGACTATAGACTAGACTATAGACTAGACTATAGACTAGACTATAGACTAGACTATAGACTAGACTATAGACTAGACTATAGACTAGACTATAGACTAGACTATAGACTAGACTATAGACTAGACTATAGACTAGACTATAGACTAGACTATAGACTAGACTATAGACTAGACTATAGACTATAGACTATAGACTAGACTATAGACTAGACTATAGACTAGACTATAGACTAGACTATAGACTAGACTATAGACTAGACTATAGACTAGACTATAGACTAGACTATAGACTAGACTATAGACTAGACTATAGACTAGACTATAGACTAGACTATAGACTAGACTATAATCGTTTTTATAAATTACACATTTCGCATCAAAACATCCCATTGTGCACAACCAACACTAAAGCTTTAACCAACCTGAAATAAATTGATATTTAATTTAACTTGGTCTCTTAGAATTATCAACGAACTTTAACCAAAAATATTTTAGCGCCATTTAAAAATAAAAAAGCATAAAATTAAATTCAAACGTAAATAAATGAATGAATACAGAAATTAATAAACAAAAAACCACCAAAGTTCAGGTTCCAAATGATTTATTTAAATATTTAAAATAAATTTGCTTGAATTTGCATTTCTTGTGTTATGTAAACTAATGTGTTTTTCTGTTTGTTTGTCGAGCCGACAAAGTGACCATAAATATGCAAATTTCTTTACAAAACAAATTAAAGAAACAAACAAATAAATATAAAAAAGACAAAAAACTGTTTGTAATATTTATAACCAAATATCAATGTTGTTTTGTATAACTTCGGATAAAATTTATTGATTTTTGTCTATTAATTGCATTATATCTGAAACATAAATAGTTTAATATATTAATTTTTGAAGAGTATATTTCCAAAAGGAACCATTTTATAGTTATGACAGTTATTTGATTGATAATCTATAATAAATT